AAATAATAAACAAAACTATCATAATAGAGTTGATCCACGGAGAGATTGCAATAGTGCTAACTGAATCGAATTTAAATTAACCTTATAAGCCTTCTATTGACGAAATTAGCGACCCTTCAGGAAGGTAAATTGGAAGGTTCAGCAAGTCTTACGATTATCCAGTAAATAGCCGATAATCGTTCCTGCTGGGTAACAACGACAAATTAATTCTATACTAAAAATTACTACATATACTGTTACCTTGGTTATATTCAAATTTATAGTTTCGTGATTTCTTGAAATTTAAAATATTAACTTTGATCCTTGACGTTTGTTCAACATTCGTCGCATAATTTAACAATCATTTTTACATTTATTTAACTAGAACCATTTTGAGCCCAGAGCGATAAATTTTTTAATTGGTTTATTAATTTATAGCCAGTCACGTGGCGCGACAACGGGCAATTTCACGTGACAATTAATTTTTCAGAAGTCCTATCATTTATGGTCACGTTCCCCGTATAATCTACTAATTAAAATTTATTTCTCTATTCTTGCATTTATTTAACTATATTTATATCTCCGCGTCGTTTAATAATTTATTTAACAATCATTTTTTTATTTTTAGTATGATTTAACGTTTGTCAAACAACGAACATAATGTCTGCCCTAGCACCCGCTTATAACAATTGTAATAGTTCTAAAAAATTGTATAAATAGTATCGTTGACAGACATGCTTAATCAAAATAGAAATAAAGATAATTTTAAACTCACCTTTACTTGTTACTTATTTTACACCGAATCTTGTCTTTTGCACACGTAGTGGAGGACCCTCCATTATAAACAAACTTAATTCGAATTGTATTTTCGTTGGCAGAAACTAAGTCCAACCATTGCGTTTTATGTTATTTTGTTGGCAGAAACTAAGCCCAACCTTTTATTTCAAACACGTTAGTTTTTGGTTAGCTGAAACCATCGTAATCATTGATTTCCAGGCCGCGTCAATAGGTCCTGTCGATTTGTCTTTTGTTATGGGTAATCAGAAATCTTCGTAAAATATATTTCGTCATTAAAATTCCACACATTCAAGGTCGATTTGCGTATAAGCCACCACGGGAAAACCTTTAGAACTATTCAAAGTTACACAAAGTTACACCTAATTTAAAGGAAGGCGTAACAGTACATGTACATTGTGTGCTACATGGAATAGCCGTTTTGGGTATATATGTATTACGCTATTGTGTACCTACCTATACATGTATTTATAAAATTCTTGTTTTCTTAAAGATATAATTTAATTTTTGAATTTTGTAGAAGCATTCTATTGTCATTAATTGACGAATAGCTTATAAAAAAATTTAACATAGCAATAAGATCGAAATGATTTCGACACTAATACTGCCAAAAAGTGTTGATAAAAAATATGGTAAAATCAATGCAATTGTTTTTGGTATAGTACTGGAACTGATGGCGACAGTGAATATATCATTCATTAGTTATAAAAATTTTAATTAAGAAAATTCAACTTTATCGTTCAAATAAGTACTATCGCGCAAAGAGAGAATAACTAGAACTAGGAATTAGACCCACCGATGCAGGTCAAATTCTGGATTGTAATTGAGCTCGGATAACCTATATGATTTCGGTTATCTTAACCCGTCTTACAGCATCACTCAGCTCTGTTATATAATTGCAAGAGATAAATTAAAATCATGATAGATTTTCGCAATGCGTAATGCGTTTACACTATTTTTTTAAAAAATAGACAAGCTATATTAAACACTGTATCCATTTTTAATAAGAATTTAATAACAGATACCATTCGTGAACATAAATTAAATTGTCCCATACAAAAAACGCTTCTCAATAGAATTCGTGCACGTACCGAAAGACTTATTAAATTATGTTCATTCTCGTTAAAATTATTATCGTTATTAAAAATTTGTGAGAAACTTCAAAAATTAATTTTTCAAAGTCCTTAAAAAATTTATTATCTCAGCGAAAACAAAATTAAAGGAGAGAGTATGGTGAATTTAAAAAATTTTTACTCTATATATTAAAATTTTTATGCGATATAATAAAACTAAACTCTTGAATTTTAATGCCCATTTGGTTTTGTTGTATTTAGAAACGAAATTATTGTGAAAAAATATATATATATAGTGAGGGATAGCATAAGATATATAAGATATCCAATATTTATATGTAATATAAAAAGTGTTATAACTCAAAAACTCTGTTAATATAGATTTTTTGTTAATTATAATTTTAAAGAGTTATAAGTTATAACACTTTAAATTTTATATGTGATTGAAAATTTGGCATTTATTATATAAAAATAAATATTCAAAATTTTTTTAATTGCTTCTGATTGGTCAGTTTAATTAATATGTGTAAGATCTGCAATAAAAATTGGCATTTTGGATATCTTATGCTGTATATATAACGTAACTCCGAAATTGACCTCTGAAGATTTAAATATCATCAGCATCTTTCACCACTCTTTATAAGAAAATATGTTAAATTTAATTAATAACATGCAAGTATCACTTTGAGTAATAGAATAATCGACACTGCACCATTCTCTTTCAAAATTTTAAACAACTCCGTGATTAGCATCAATTTGATATGCTGCCGCTGCAGCAGATTTGATAATTTTTTGAATGGGGTTGTGAACATTAAATCCAAATTCGTTGTTGTTTCGTTTGTTGATGACTGTGTATAAACATATTTATAAGAATAATCATTTCATTGGGCCAAAGTAATTGTTTTTTGTAATTCGTGCCAATTTAATATGTCATAGATCGTGAAAAAAAATTAATGCAGTGATGACTACATTCAAAGTTTATTATAGTACTCTCGTCTATCAGACGATCTGCGAATCCTGTATATGTGTATACGTGTAGTATGATTTTTGATGATTAATAACAAAAACAAATAGGGGTAGATTTTTATGTTTACGCTGACACGGTAGCCTCGTCATGAGGCGTAGTGATGACGTATCAACTATAAAGTAAATTGCTTTTTTTTTAGTTATCTTTTCTAACTTATTTTATTTTTGCTTTGCTACGACTTCTTGGAACGGACGCGGCTTCTTGAAACGGTATATCGTGTTAAACTGCGTGACTTCTTCGTAGAGCGATGGTTGTGTTTAACTTGCTTGACTTTAGAACGGACAGCACGGAGGGTAAAGCTTGTCTTGTTGTCATGTTACTTGCTCCTCGTGACTTGTTTATTTTCTAGCTTAAGGTTTACGGAAGCCAACACGACGACTTCTTGGAACTTGGAACGGTATATCGTGTGACTTCTTTGTAGAACGGTGGTTGTGTTTAACATGTTTAATTTTAGAACGGTTCAGAACAAAGGGTAGTAGAAGAAAGAAGACGAAGAAGACGAAGAAAACAGAAGATAGAACAGAAGGAAGAAGACAGAAGAAACGAAGACAGATAGACGAAGAAAGAAGACAGAAGAAAGAAAATAGAAGACGAAGACAGAAGAAAGAAAACAGAAGACGGAAGACAGAAGAAAGAAGACAGAAGGCGAAGAAAGAAGACAGAAGGCGAAGAAAGAAGACGAAGAAAGAAGAGGAAGAAAGAAGACAGAAGGCGAAGAAAGAAGATAGAAGATGAAGAAAGAAGACAGAAGACAGAAGATAGAAGAAAGAAGACAGAAAGCGAAGAAAGAAGACAGAAGGTGAAGAAAGAAGACAGAAGACAGAAGGCTTCTTCATAGAACGGTTCAAAACGGAGGGTAAAAGCTTGTCTTGCTGTTATACTACTTGCTGCTCACGACTTGTTTATTTCTAGCTTAAGATTTACAGAAGCAAGCCGGCTTGAACAACCCGTCACCACGCTATAGAATCTCGAGAACTTTAGATAGAGATGATAATGGGAATACAGGGAGAGTTGTGGAAAGAGACAAGTGGATTTTTTTATTTTTTCCGTTGATTTTCTTTCTATTATTCATTATCCTAGAAATACCTAATTAGAATTATCTAAGCAAGGATTTCTTGGGTATTGGCATTGCTCCGATGCGAAGTTTACGCAAAAGCCAACTGATGAGTCCCGTGAGCTCGGACGAAACCCAAGATAACTGGTCTCTTACCAAAGGCTCAAAGAAATACGCGCGTAGATCATCAATTTTTACGATAACATGTATCACAAAAAAAGTAATGTAATGTCTTTTGCTATTATTTGCGAGAATTGTTGTTCGCTTCCGAAAAGTCTAAAACTAACTCTAGGCCTTTTATATCTTAAAAGTACTCTGTATGCACGATCAAATCAATCGATATTGACCTGTTTGAACCGTTACCTGGTAATTTTTGTTCCAGAATCGGGCCACTGAACGCCATTACATGTTCAAAGAGGTAATAAAAATTTAAAACGATCGTAAAGTGTTTTAGTATTGTCACACTCAATTCGAAAGTTCTGTTGACTAACGAATTTGAATATGTGCAAGGGGGCGGGAGTGACGATTGAATGATTTACTCAAAGTGGGTTTCATTAGGATTCTAAAGGTCTCTTTCACGGAGATTGAACAATTCGGTGGGCAAATAATAAATTATTTTAACTATTCAAGGCAATAATAGGTTTTCACAAGTAAGATGATAAAAATCAAAACTCGAAAGTGTTATTTAATAACATTAATAATATCAATATCAAATAATAATATTAATGCCCAAGTTCAAGAGATTCAAAGTAATGCAGCGACTTTGTATGGCCAAAGCAGGAAAGCTCATGATTCAGGGATCCGAGAAACCCCGGGAAATGTGTATAATAATAAAAGTAAAATGTATGATGTAATCAATTTCTCTTATCATACGCTATTATATATATCATCAGATTAATTTATACCGCTACATTATACATGGCTCGTTTATTTGCCTCCGTTGAAATAGCTTTCCATTTTATTTTTTTCAGAACTTATTTTATTGTTGATGATAATTTGTAATTCAAATGTTTTATCTATGAAATTGCTTTTTGTTTCCTAACGAAAAATATTTTTTCTAGAGCAGTTGATTCTACAAGAAATGAAAATCCTGAGGTAAATTAATGTCTCGGATGAAAGATTCATAAATATTACTAATGAGTTCCTATTAATAGAAGATTGAGAATATAATCACACACACAAAAATGGCATAACACAACATTGGTTGAAGTTCTGTAATTATTGTGAGGTACCGCTGCAGATTCAAACGGTTGAATTATTCTCTGATGCTCTATTTCTTTTTAATCCGTGCCCTTACTTTCGAAGAGTGGCTTGCACGAACATACAAAATCATATAATTCCTTAGTCAGTCCACATGAAATGGCTAAGCTCGATATACTCAAATCCGCGAAAATTTATTAGAAATGATCAATAGTTCAGCATTTATATACATATCATTTTTGTAAAAACAATCTCACCTGGACCGCCTTTTGTTGTTAATTGTTCATACCACTTTTTGTGAATGAAGAAACTAGAAGTACACATAGTCATGAGAAGTTGCAATACCATCTTTTTCTCCAACAGTAGAAAACTCAGCTCAACTCATGGATCCGGCACTTATTTCAGAACAGTCCGCATTCATATAATTCTCACCTGCCTTTAAAAAGGGTGCTTGAGACTGATGTTAATTTGTGGCTGGATTTTACTCGAGTCATTTTACTCCACTCTTTGATAAAGGTAATCGAATCGTTTATAATGGATTTGGAATATGATTGGTTGTATCGATCTTGGCTATTTTATGTGGACTATGTGTGATTGAGGGTGAGCTCGCTTAAGTTACTTTATTACCGCTACACTCCTTGATAAGGACACTGGATTAGAGAGAACAATGATTGATGTTGGAACCTTAAAACAGAGAATAAGTCGTTCCATGTACGCCATTTTTAATCGCAGAATCCAAAACTTTAACTTTATCTTTCGTTCGAAGGTTTAGTTTTTAATGCTCGCAATAGTCACTTATTGCAAAGTCAGAATCAACGTTCTAATAGGATTTTCGTTAGCAGGCTCATTTGACATCGCTCAGACCTGATTTCTGTTGGTCGGGATTTTTCTAAACCTGAATTTATTTTAATAAATTTTCAGCGAATCCTGTTAATGGTTCTAGTGATATAGGGTAATGATAACAGCTAGAGGACAAAAATATATGTAAAATTGTCATCCGACATTTTAATTAGTATTCCAAGACAGATTTAGGCATAATATTCATTTTTCATATCTTGTTTCATTTGCCGGGTTGATTGAACATGGATCACAGACGGACTACGCTTTAGGAGGGTTTGTTATCCAATGCTAGCGAATCAGATCTAAAAACCAGATATACAATAAGTTAAATTTGATTTTATCCTTGCATTCGCTTCATAATTCTGAATCATCCAAAAAATAAGAAAAATAATACAAATGAAAAATGTACAATTTTCTTGCGTATTTTAACTGATTAGGTTCAAGAAATTTATAATTTAAAAGAACCCTTGTTGCATTCGCCGTTTCCCATTTGTATATGCGCTTTGAAATTTTGAGTTTTATTGTATTTTTAAGTAGTGAATTGAAAAAAACGAACAGCTTTAAGTTCAATTTTTAATGATTTTATTATATTGCTATATACCGCAACGTCCCAAAAAATTACCAGCAGGACAATATCGATTGATTTGATTGTGCATACAGAGTACTTTCAAGATTAAAAGATCTGGAGTTGAGAAGTTTTAAATTTTTTAGACAATTCTCGCGAATAATAATAGCAAAAGACTTAATAAAATTTTTTTTATAATACATGTTATCGCTAAAAATTGCAAAAGACCAGTAAAATTTTGGGTTTCGTCCGAGCTCACGGGACTCATCAGTTGGCTTTTTGCGAAAATTTCGCATTGGAGCAATGCCAATACCCAAGAAATCCTTACTTAGACAATTCTAATGAGGTATTTCTGGGGTAATTAATAATAGAAAGAAATCAACGGAAAAAATAAAAAAATCCACTTGTCTCTTTCCACGACTCTCCCGTATTCCCATCATCATCTCTATCCAAAGTCTCCGAGATACCCAACGCCTTCTCCACCAGGCTTCTTCTGTAGCGTGGTGACGGGTTGTTCAAGCCGGCTTGCTTCCGAAATTCTATATCGTTCTAAACGAAAAAAAAGGAAAGGCAAGACAAGACAAGACAATAGCACAACATTTATTTATTTATTTAGCGTAGTTTAATACTTATTCCGCAGCCAATAATCTAAAGTCTCCGAAGATTCCCAACGCCATCTCCACCAGGCTCGTATCCATCACGTGGTGGCGGGTTGTTCAAGCCGGCTTGCTTCCGTAAACCTTAAGCTAGAAAATAAACAAGTCGCGAGCAGCAAGTAACATGACAACAAGACAAGCGTTACCCTCCGTTCTGAACCGTTCTAAAGTCAAACAAATTAAAAAAACAACCGCCGTTCTATGAAGAAGTCACGCAAGTTGAACACAAACTTTTTACCCTGTTCTGAACCGTTCTAAAGTCAAGCAAACTAAACACAACCGCCGATATACCGCTCTACAAAGAGGTCACGCAGTTTAACACGATATACCGTTCCAAGAAGTCAAGCACAAGCAATAGCGTCGTGACCGTTCCAAGAAATCGTTCTGTCGTTAAGCAAAGCAAAAATAAAAAATAAAATAAAAAGTCAGAAAAAAAAGCTCCATTTTATAGAGAAAAGCAAATGAGACGCATGAAACATAAATCAATCGTATGTTTGTGGGAATATTTGTTGTGACGCATTTGTTTATTATGCGATGATTAATAATTTTTTGAGGTCCCATGTTTGAACAACCATATCAATATTAGAATTTATATTATTCCCACAGTATTAATATTATATACATCAAAAAAACATTATATACGTCATGTTGGAAAAAAATCATTATTAATAGTGAGTTTGTAATCAACACGATATTCGTGAAGTTAACTTGGCTATCTGGGGCTGGCTTAACGCATGGTACATGTAATCAGAATCATAAAGCTTTCGTGATTTACATTTTTTCGTGTGCATACCGCATTTTACATGTACATGTATTAATTAACATTACCTGTGGAATGTTAGATACCCGGGTATTCATGATTGCGAAATACAGTACGCGTAATTCTATTCGTTACCAAAGAGAATTTTTTTGCGTTGAGCATTTTTTAGTTAGTAAAATTTGGGTTTCGTCCGAGCTCACGGGACTCATCAGTTGGCTTTTGCGAAACTTTCGCATTTGAGCAATGCCAATACCCAAGAAAGCCTTACTTAGATAGGTATTTCTGGAGTAATGAATAATATAAAGAAAACAACGGAAAAAATAAAAAAATTCACTTGTCTCTTTCCACGACTCTCCGTATTCCCATCATCATCTCTATCCAAAGTCTCCGAGATACCCAACGCCTTCTCCACCAGGCTCGTATCCATCGCGTGGTGGCGGGTTGTTCAAACCGGCTTGCTTCCGAAATTCTAAAACGGAAAGGCAAAACAAGACAATAGCACAGCATTTATTTATTTATTTAGTTTAGTTTAATACTTATTCCGCAGCAATAATCTAAAGTCTCCGAAGATTCCCAACGCCATCTCCACCAGGCTCGTATCCATCACGTGGTGGCGGGTTGTTCAAGCCGGCTTGCTTCCGTAAACCTTAAGCTAGAAAATAAACAAGTCGCGAGCAGCAAGTAACATGACAACAGACAAGTTACCCTCCGTTCTGAACCGTTCTAAAGTCAACAAATTAAAAAACAACCGCCGTTCTATGAAGAAGTCACGCAAGTTAAACACAAACTTTTTACCCTCTGTTTGAACCGTTCTAAAGTCAAGCAAGTTAACACAACAGCCGATATACCGCTCTACAAAGAAGTCACGATACGATATACCGTTCCAAGAAGTCAACAATAGCGTCGCGTCCGTTCCAAGAAGTTATTATGTCGTTAAGCAAAGCAACAATAAAAAAGAAAATAAAAAGTTAGCAAAGTTAGCAAAGTTGAAAAAAAAGCAATTCATTTTATAGTTGCGATTCTTCTGGATGCGTCACCACTATCAGTCATCTATCATGATAAGATACGCCTCATGACGAGCTACACTCAGCGTAAACACAAAGATCTACCCATATTAGTTACGACAAAAAATCATACATGTATTATTATGTAACACACCGGGTTATATTGATTAGTTGATGAACTGGTGGAGCATGTACATGTAAAAGGCTGTAAAGGGAGGTTTTTCAATAAACAAAAATTTATGATTATTCAATTTTCTCTAATAATAAAACTTGATAATCAAGTTATATGAGTGTATAAATAATATAAAAGATAAAATCAGTTTCAAACTTTAAATTACTCACAAATTTGACTATTTTTTTATAGATAACTTAAATAGAAACTAAATTTCATTAACTGATAATAAATAAAGGACAGCGAGAATGTGTTTAGTATAGTTTTTTCTCAATAATCTACCCCGTAGTCACAAATTCACTGTTTACGAGGAAACGCTACTTAATTAAAATACGTATACATTTTAAATGAAGATCATATATCGATAATATACATGTACAGTATATGTACATTTTAAATGAAGATCCAGTATTATGACGATAAAATGAATTTTTTTTAACGCGAATACAAAAAAACAATTACCTTGGCCGGTAACGATAATTAACATTAACATGTTGAAACTTATCTTTATATAAAAATTCAGAGAATGCTCTCATAACGTTTATTTTGAAATGATGACATGATGATGATACGGTTTTACCACACTCCGAAAAATGTAATATCGACACATGTTATTGGAAAGATACGTTGAGAAATCGATATATTTTATATAATTGGACAAGTGTAGGTGCTCGCAATATCAAATATACACATGATAATTGAACTTTATGATTCTGACTACCATGCATTAAGTCAGCCCCCAGATAGCCAAGTTAACTTCACAAATATCGATAAAATATGTTGATTACAAACACATATATCATTAGTTATTTTTGAAACATGTTACTGGAAGATACGTGAGAAATAGATGTATTTTTATATAATTGGACTAGTGCGTGCATGTATGGGTGCTTGCATACACACAATAATTGCATTTTGAGATCGTAAATTATAATATATAATTGAAAAACTACAGTCCTCTCCTTAATACGCAAATTTCAATTAACTCTGGGTGAAAATGTTGGAGAATGTGGCAACTGTATTGATTTGATGCGTAAAAACAATAATTGCTGGAAGTTTGTATATAATGGCAGACCTTTATCAGCTATTAAAATTTGATGAGAATATGAATTTATTTATGAATGATTAATTGACAATTTATTAATTGATAGATTGATTGATTGATAGATTGATTGATAGATTAAATTTTGTCACGTGAGATCACGAAAATATATAACCTCAATTTCGTTTTTTCTTTCGTTATGAGAATTATAAGCAGCTATGCCAATTTGTTGTGAACATCAGAAGCATTCTACACTTATTTTTTTACGATTTATGACATATCATTGACGCGAATAACAATAATAATGTAAACATACATTGTTGAGCAGTAGACACGAAAATGTCACTGCCGTCATTTTTCATGTTTTATAACATATCTTGCAAAAATACATCATATCATGACATTATTGGGAAGTCGGAATAAACCCCAAAAACAAATACAATTGGAGTTCCAATAACAGATATATATAAATCGTATCTCTTGAAAATTTTTTCATCAAAAATAATAAATATATGCGTAAACACAAAAAGAATTGAAACCACTTTTTGTAAACTCGGCTATAAAACTGGCGTTTTCCTTATCTTCGATTTTATTTGGTATATTAATATCGAAATCTGTTTTTATTACCAAAGAAAAATGAGTCTACCTAACATCCCAACAATCAAACATCCCGACAACCTAATATTTTGAAATACACAACTTCCAGACATAAATCAGAAATTGAATTAGCTTTTTTGGGAAGTTGTGGAGTTAGGTTTGTCGTGAGGTTGAATTTCTGGAAGTTGGATGTTAAGCTGTCAGGATGTTGGGTGGCATCCAAGAAAAAAGAAATTGATGAAAATAATATCGAATGTAATTTACCTTCATTTGGAACATACAAACACTTGTAAAACCTAAATGTTCTACTGGTTTTTTTGTTTATACTCGTAGGAATACTTTTTTGCAATTCATCTCCTATCAAGTTCTGCTTTCTAATTCAACGCACCATTTAATTTCTTCTGCTTTAGAATATCCTAAAGAGCTGTAGTACTGAAGACGTAAAGAATTCGGTTTCTAATAGATTCGTAGATAGATCCGATAACGCCATAAAATACCTCAGCAGTTGTGGAATAGGATTCCAAGCTTACAACATACGGGAATATTATTTGGTATGGGTGCAGCAGCCCAACATCCCGCAAATGATGTAAACGCGCCATTTTTAGTATCGGTATGTTTTACGTAAGATTGCGCAGATTAGAATGAAATTAGAAAATTTTTGGCCAAAGTTATGCAGATAATATAAATAATTTGGCAAAATTATCCATAATTTCTTATGAATAAATAGTGATTTTTTAAAATAGTGATATTTGTGAAAAATAAAATACAGTTTAATTTTACAATAATATTTATATATCAATTTTATTTTATTCTTGCCTATTAGTTTACTCTGTTTTTTTATTATGTTAAAGCAACTAAAAGCATCTATTATTTAAAGATCCTATTTCCACAGTATATATTGATCAATAATTAATTTATAAGATCGATGCAACCGAATGCACAGGTTGCTGTTACGTTAAGACTAGAAAATTAGCAACCGTACTAAGCATCTTAATTTGAATCCGGGTATGTAATGAAAAAAAGTGTTCAAAATTGATTGGTATATTTTATACATGTACATGTATATACAATTACCACATATTATTGTAACATGCTCCTAATATTGTATTTCCATCATACCGTACCTTCTTCCATTACGATTCAAGAAAAACGTGGGTAGAATGTACCGTATCTTGGTATTTTACACGGTAAAATACGGTACATAAATTACATACTTTAGAATTGCTACGGCGCTAAGTAACGTTGTCATTTTTGTTATAACCGTAAAGCGCTCTGTATATTACCCATCCCCTTTAACTTTAATTTAATCAATAGCGTTAAATAAATCAGTAATTTTAACTACTAATTTATTTAGCCTTGAGATTAAATTAAAGGTTAAATTTTTAAATGTTATGGAGAGGGGTACTATACAGAGCGCTTTACGGTATTTAACGCAAAAATTTTGTCTAAATTTTCTAATTATTTGAATATAGCCGTCCAGCCCAAAAATTACGACTTAGATTTCAAACAATTGAAACAGAATATATTTAAACAGCACGAATAATATTAAAAAATTGCATATTACGAATAAAAAATAAAATTTTATTAAAGATGTTTCAAAAATTCATTTATATCCTTTCTTGACGTTTATTACCATTGTCAGATCTCACGTGATTACAGAATTCCAGAAACTTTAAATTATTAGAAAGCGGAGTATCCTGTACATAATTATGTCAACATTTATTGAAATTGATATAGGACCGGAATTAGAATCGAACCAAATAATACAACAGTCCCTATTGTCTCCTTTAAAACAACAGTACATGCAACAGGATGAAGAAAGAATACGTAGACGTCAATTACTTCTTGAGAGACGTCGTAAGTTACGTGAAAGACGTCGTAGGTTACGCGAAAGAAATCAAGGGCAAGCTGAAATTGAAATGGAATTTAATTATGCGTACATGTAATCATTGAAGGATTATAACCGACCTTCTCATTTTTCAATTTTTATGTATTTGAAATAAATATCAAAAGTATTTTTGTTAAATAATATTATTTAATAGAATTTAATTTTTTATATTATTATAATAAACATATCTTTTATTTTTATATTTATCATAATAATGCTTACAATACTTTTTTAGTGAATTAATATTATTAGTATCATATTATTATCATATAATTTTCTTAAGTATTAAGATTTAATAAGAATTTAAAAATCAGACTAAAAATGAATAAATTTAATTTAATTTTATAACTTATAATATTTATTTATTATATTAAATAATAATTAAAATTATAGAATAAAATAAAATATCTTTAAATAATAATTTAAATTTATTAATATATAATTGCTTAAATAAAAAATAAAAGTAATATTTCTGAGAAATGCTTATTATTAAATAAATATACAGTGGCAATCAAAAGTAATGCAATACTTAAATTTTTTACTAATTATAATTAGTAAAAAATTTTAAGCATTGCATTACTTTTGATTGTTATCATAATAATAATAATAATAAAATAATAAATAAATTAAATAAAAATAATAAATAATAACTAAATTAATATAATAAAATAAAAATAAAATAAATTAATAATCATATAATACTTGAAAATAAAAAAGTTATGATTGATATAGTTCTTAAATTTACAGATTATCAAGCTATAATTACTATATTATATTAAGATTTATCATATATTTTCTCTTTTAACTTTAATAATTTAAATACTTTTATAAAATTTATATTATTATAAAACTTTTTTATAAATTTTTTAGTAAGAAGAATTTAGTTTTTAATTAAATATTAAATTTAATTACAGATAATTCTTTTATTTAAAATTATTTTAACTTTATATTTTTCTTTTTTTTATTTTAAATATAACTATATCTACTAATAATATTAAATATAAAAATTTTTTATTTTTATTTAGATTATATAATTTTAATAATAAAATATAAAAAATAAAATGAATTTTTATATATAATAATAATTTTAATTTGTATATATAGATAAAATAGTATTAATAATAATAAAAGATCTAGTATATTTTAATATAAGTTTCTTATTAAAGTATTATTTATTAATAAGATTAATAATATTATATATTGATAATAAAACTTAATCTTTAATAATGAATTCTTAATAATAATAATATTGATTAACATATAATGACAATCAAAAATAATGCAACACTTAAATTTTTTATTAATTATAATTAGTAAAATATGTATTTTTCCTTATATATAAAAGTTTTTAATTTTACTAACAAATATTTTTTATTTT